AATAGAATCAAAACACAATTAATCAAACCAAATATTGCATCAATTTATTAAAAATCTGCATGAAATTAACATATTATTAAATGTTTAATTTTTTCATATCTCAAGAAGATATAACAACAATATTATCCAAATGTTTAAGTTTCAAAAGTTAAAAATACCAAACGCTACCCCCAAAAAATGATATCCAAATAACATACAACAATATTTAAGAGTACCCAAAAACTTGAGTTGCCATATTCAAAAACAAAATAACTAGAAAATGACATTGTTGCTACTAACAATAAAACTTATTGCAACCTTAAAATATCATATATAAATGCTTTACATTATTGCCGCCAGTACTTTAAAATGCGTGATCTAAAAAGGGTGGCACTCGTTGTTGACCCTAAAATGCAAACAAGATACAACATAAGTTGAAAAACACAAACTAATTTATCTCATTATTTATAAAAGGGTTTACACTCAACAGATAATTATTTATAAAAACACAGAAATAAAATTTTCAGAAAAATTATTATAAGAGCAACTTAGTGTTAGGGTATGCCTTATGAGCCAACTAGGTTGGCAAGATAATGTTATGTACTTGTAATTATATTTATTATATTTATGACATTCTTTATCTAATATTAATTATTATTCTTCTACGTTTGTTAAATATTGATAAAGTGCTTAGAATGTCAATTTTATCAAAAGGTAATAGTAATCTCCACTATTAGTGAGAACTATATAATGCAATAACAACATTCTTTAATTGCCCAATAGTTGTATATATCATTGAGATTGGACATCAATAATCTCAATGATATAAAGACTATCATATGTGATGCTTTGCAAGGTAGCAAGACCTTATGAAGTCACGCATCATATGTAGGTGACTCAAAGTAAGTGAGTGCATTGAACTGACCCACCATGAAAACTTTACATGTACGTGTCATTAGTAACTTTTTAGCTATGACACAAGTGTAAGTGATTTTGACTTGAGATCGTCATTATTCTATGCAATGGCTTTGTTCTTTGATGTTGTTAAAAATAGCCACTTCGAGGGGTTGCGAGTGATATAGTTATTAGGTGCATCACGAATCACATGAGAGTAATGGGTGAATCAAGATAGAATTTGTCCCTCTCAAGTTTATGAGAGAAGATATCTCTAGCCCCTTTTGATTAAGATAAGACTACATGCAAAGTCCATGGTCATGGCATGAATAAAAGCTTATTCAAGAAGTATGTCTATCTTGGAAATCAAGGAAATATATATTGAGTTTCAAGGATAATGACCCATAATATGCATCTTGTTTGATAGAGATATCAATTACGAAGCGATTGAATTACATGAGCATTGGTCATACAAAGGTTTGTCAAAGCTATTGACTCTTTCTATTACTTTGGGTGGCCATGATGTGTTGCTAGATACTGCTCTTGGTTTGTGAGTGTTTCTCACTACCATCATGATAGAAACTTAGAAGGTCACACACTCAATGCATTTTGAGGATTGATATTTCTATAAATCTAAGTTTGTGGATATAGATAAGTTTATATAAAAATAGTATTTTCATAGGAAAAATAAATTAATTAAGATCCATAATAAATTGGTAGAAAGAATTAATTTAGTTGAATTAATTCAAGTTTGAATTTGTTATAAGTTAAGGACAAGAAAAATCTAAAGTGGCATTTAAGTCCTTGGAGGACTTGTGGACCGAAACCTTAGCTCATTGGGTTTAGGGCTTTAGTAGTGTAATTGGCTTAAAGCCCTGGGAAAAAATCCTAATCCATATTGGACTAGGTTGTGCAACAAGAAAGGGAAAAATTAAGGGAAGTCAAGTCTTCTTCTTCTAGGTTTCTATTTTGACTTGAAGATTAAGTTTGATAATTCTAATTGGATTAGAGTTGCAAGTATTCTATTCTCTATTAATCTAAATAGGTGTAGAAAACCCAAAATCCCTAATGATAATAAATAGTTGATTTTTCCATCGTAGAATTTTAAGCCATTAAAGTTATTCTACGAAAACCCTAAAGTATACCAAATTGACTTTCTAATTGCTAGCACCTTCAAAGACTCAATCTTCTTCAAATCCTCAAGCATACATGTGGATCACTATTAGAGGAATTATACACTTAGACTCTTGGGTGGCTTCATTTGAGGATAGTAGTTAGATATATGCATATGCATCAATGAGGCATGTGTCATTGAGGTACTGACCATAAACACTTCATTAATCGTTAATGGTTCATACAAATCCTAGGTGTGTTGAAAGAAGACAAGATTAATTTTTTTTTCTATAATTTTTCCTACTTCCCCTGTGCCCTCCTAAACCCAACACTTAGTTAGGCAACACGACTAATAGCTCTCACAATCCTTCTAACAGAAGAAGGACCACTACAACATTTATTTGAATGACAAAGAAACAATTGAAAAGAAAATCAAACAAATGATGACCACATCAATGTTGGTCTAAGACTAAATGCTTACTACATTGAAAAAAATAAAACATAGATTAAATAAGCCATAAATGGATAAAATAAACCCCAAATAGAAGTAACTATTCCATCAACCACTTTATTGGATTACAAGAATTCTAAATGCAGTGTTTCTTCCACCCAGGCAATGAAAGAAAAAATTTAGAACTTGCACACAAGAACTAACTACTGATACTAGTTCACCTTTACAACACCAAGCAAGGATATTAGCTTTAAATTTTTCATTAAGAAAAAGGAAACCATAAAATCAAATATCGCCTACTAGGAGTTCTATTAATTAGGTTAAACTTAGTGAACATTAAT